TAAAGCCTAAAGCCTAAACCCCGAACCCTAAACCCTAAAGCCTAAACCCCAAACCCGAAACCCCAACCCCAACCCTTAAGCCCCAAACCCTAAACCCTGAACCAGGGCCTGCTTAAGGACCGTGGCCCTGAAACCTGAATGCGAATCCAGCGGCTATCATTGCATGGAATGCCAAGCTCACCGGGCTTACGAGCGACAAGCCCGCGCAAGGCAGGTAGACGAAAACGAACCTCAGGGTTTAGGGCTTAGGATTTAGGGGGTTTAGGGTTTAGGGGTTTAGAGTTTAGGGGGGTCTAGGATTTAGGATTCAGCTTTTAGTGTTTAGGGAGTCTCGTCTAGCTCTCTTCCGACCTTTCCCGAAGCCGAACCTGTCAACGACGAAAACACCACCCTAAACCCTAAACCCTAAACCCCTCGCAGCGGAAGGACCGCGGGAGAAACAAACAGAGGCCCCTGGGGTTCCTTGTCGTGAGACTTTCGAGGCCCCAGGGTTTAGGGCTTTAGGGGGTTTAGGGGGTTTAGGGTCTTATAGGGGTTTGGGGGTTTAGGGGTTTATAGGGGTTTATAAGGGGTTTAGGGGTTTAGGGGTTTAGGGGGTTTAGGGGTTTAGGGTTTCGGGGTTTAGGGTCTTAGGGTTTATAGGGTTTAGGTTTTAGGGTTGGGGATGCTAGGTGTAGGAAGCGGGACACAAACACAGTTCTAGAGACCCCTGCAACTAGATGTCACGGCCTCAACCTCACACACTAAACTTTTAACCTATTTGTCCAGTATCCCCGGGGGAACTAAAGGTTAATGAGCCTTAAAAGGTTGAAGGCTTCTTACCCTACGACCAAGTTAAACTCTTCAGGCTTGATGCAACCCTCTTGCAAAGCTATCTTCCTTAGGGGTTTAGGGTTTGGGGGTTTGGCTTGTCCCGCTTACAAGGGGACATGAAGAAGGTCAACTGTTGAGGGAGGAAAAGGGGACTGTACAACACCAAATCAGTTCAAGGTGGCCTACTATCGTCGGCCTCAATACTTAGAATAGGGCTTCGGGGTGTGTAGAATACTCTATGGACCAGGGGCCCCTTTAATAGAGCCCTTAGAGTCGTTGTTAATGTGCATTGGGGGGATATGGAGGTAGTTTGGTCTAGGTAGGAAGAATGTTGGTAACTCTTCCGGCCCTGAATGACTCGACTAAGTTTTCTTCGCGGTACGACGAGTAGTTCCAATGACCCTAAACCCTAAACCCCAAAACAACACCCTAACTAGTCCTCTTCGAGGCACGACGAGTAGAGAATCCCAATGATCCAGGCAATGAAGGCTGGAGGCATGAAGTCCACCAGACGCATGCGCTTGATCTGGAGCTTAAGGCTTGCTTCGCAGGTATTTGTCCGGGATCCCGAAAGGCTCTCGGAAGCTAAGGATGTTGGAGGTTTGAGTTAAGGATGTAGAGGTTTTAGGATCTAAGGGTAGACCCAAGGGATTCTAGGCTTTACTTCAAACTGGAACTCGTTTGTTCTTGATTTAGGAGCAACTCGAATTCCATGAGCTCTCTAGACCCCGAATAGTATAGGGTTTAGGGTTTAGGAGTAGCAATATGCCCAGAGCCGCTTGGGTTTACGCTATAAGAAACGAAGCTCCGTGCTGGCATGCCTGCGGGGCCTTGCTAGGCCCTACGGTTGATGATATAAATCCTGCGTTACCTTTAAGGACCTTAAACTATGGGAATTATGGTATATTCCTTATTATGGGTGATGCAGGATTTATACCATTAACCGTATGCATTTTGTTGGCTTTGAGTGCCAGCCATCGGGTTTAATTTGGAGTATACTAGTCATGTAGACACGTAGTTGCTAAACCTCCTCGCCTTAAAGGGAACATAGGCTGAATCCGTGTATCAAGGCCCCTAAAAAGAGAGGGATCCACCAGAGGTCTGCAGTAGCTGTGGCTAGGGCAGCAGAAGCCTGGATAGGAAGAGCCTTACTCCACCAACCCTATAAAACACTAGCGTGGTAGGGTTTAGGGCTCAGGGTCCAGGGTTTAGAGTTTAGGACTTGGAACTTTCCGAAAATTAGGGTACCTTATTTTGGGGTCCTTATAAGAAGGATCCTACTCTTTAGGGTACTATATTAGGGCCCCCTCTTTTCGGAAACCCCCACTTCGACCCACGGACCCCTATGCACCTCGGGCTCCTCCTTGCTCGACTGCCTCTTTGCCCTCCCATCTGTGAACTGGCAGATGAGGTTGTGCAGAGACATCAGCGTCCAGCAACCAAGAAACCTCCGGTTCGGTCCGATACACCCTTGATGTACCATTAATTAATAATATATACTATAACCTACTTGTTAATATAATATTCCTTCAATATGCTATAGAATACCATCATGGTATGCTCATTAATATACTATAAATGTGCTATGATATAGGTTTCCACATTTTACGAGGGTTTATTAAGGGACCCGAACTCGGGGTTTCGGTGGTCCGGGACTTACTTCAAGTTACCACGAAATGGAAGGGCTGCGGCTTAGGGTTTAGGGTTTAGGGATTCTGGTTTAGGGTTCAGGGTTTAGGGAATTTTGCCAGATATCCCCGAAATGCCTATAGAATGGTTACGTACCTGGACGCTTGGGAAAGAAGCGACAACTCCAACGACTGCCGGACTACCAAAATCAAAACCTGTTCTAGTGTAAGGATCAAAATAATTCTCTATATTGACAGAAAAATGGGCTATGGCAATACGACTTCCTTATCCTAAGCCCGAGCCCTAAACCCGAACCCCGAACCCCGAACCGAAACCCTGGGCCTACTAGTCCCCAAATCCTAACCCATTCAGTCTAAGAGCGACTGTCTTCGCTTGTCGGACGTTTAGTGTGGGGGTTTGATTGAAATGGCCATTTCTGCTGGCCTTCGGAAGCTGCTGGGTCGGCGGCGCAAGAGCCCAAATAGAATTGTTCAGACTGCTCTTCTTAGGCTTTCCGGAGGATGATAGGCTCGAAGCCCAAGATGTGAAGGCAGCAACACATGTACTGTAAGGGCCTTAATAAGTAGAATATGGTTCTTGGGGTCCAGTAGATTATACTACAACTATAATAATAAGTAAGGAACCCCCAAAAAAAAACATATTAGAGGTAATTGTTACGGCCCATATATTCGTGGGGTATGTAGATGACCTAAACCCTAAACCCAGAATATCGAGGATATCCTAGACCCGTAGATAAGCGCTAGATCCTTTGGGAAGTTGTTTGGCCCCTATAATTATTCATTTCGAGAACTTCCCAGCAAACCCTAAACCCTAAATCCTAAACCGGTTCAGGACAGGTCATTATCATGAAGGCCCCTATAGTAACTCAGAACAACAGCCGGAGAGCTGTGAGAAGCTGGCTGACACCATCTGCAGCTGCGTGTCAAATGTCCTGTGCACCAAACCCCGCAGATTCAGATTGCCCTAAACCCTGAAACGGTTTAGGGTTTAGGGTTTACGGTCTAGGGTTTAGGGTTTAGGGAACCCCTCAGATTCAGATGAAACGGTTTAAGGTTTAGGGTTTACTACAAGGTTTCGGGCCCAATTGAACTCGTAGGTATTGAGATAGTCTGCACGATGAACCAATATTAGACGAACAGATCTGCGACTGACGCTAATGATGAAGCTTAGGGCTTAGCGTGGAAAACGAAAACAGGATTCTCGAGTTTGAGGTCTTATGGTTTAGGCCCAAGTGTCATGCACTTCTTGAGATAATTCGTCACCTCAACCAAGTCCCGCGCCACCTCTTTTGCTTGCTCGACAATTTTGCCGCACAGAATAGCGAACCAGGCATTCTCATGAGACTTGGTTGCAGGTTTGGAGAGGATGGGCGCCATGCACGACTGGAAGGAAACAAAACTACGACAGGAATCCAAAGAGATTTGGCTACTGGTCTGGGCCTAGACAGCTGCGTGCGGAAAGAGCCATCTAAGCAGAACGCAGAAGTTACGCTGATAAAGGGCTTAGGGTTTAGCTCTTCCGGCACCCGGGCACTCCAAACTGTTGCTGATTTCGGCAGCACAGCCAAACTCGAGCTTCTGATCGGCCTTTATTTAAGCTTCCGTCTCCCAACGGAAGGGTTTAGGGCCTAGGGTTTCGTAAGTCTTCCCATCTTCCCAAATCCTAACGAAGATGCCTCTATTCAGAAAGTAGAATGCATCAGCGGAATATACAGTCAACCTCCCGAGTCAACCTCCGCAAGGATCGCTCTATGTACTCTCAAGGCTTAGAGTTTCTGCTTCAGGGTATTAAAAAATCCGCAGTTGAGGCTTGTTTGAGCAAACTGACTAGCCTAAACCCCAAAGCCTAAGCTCCTAAACCCACCGCCAAGTCACTAAAGTCACTAAAGTGCTAGGGTCCACGATCCCGAGGCCCGAGGCTATGCTGCAAGAAAGGTCGCATACGGTTAGAAGATAGGGTTTAGGATTTATAGGGTTTAGGCCAAGGTTACCATGGCTTGTGCCTCCGCCACCCCACAACCTTCAACCCTTAACCTCTAAACAGCCAAACAACAACTACCCTCCAGTATGCCCTAAATTCCCATGATTAAGAACCCTAAACCCTAAACCCTTAACTTAAGCTCCTAAACCCTAAACCTTAAACCGTTTAAGTTCAGAGGAACTTGCGGGGGGTCCTGGTAAATTAGAAACCCAGTGGTTTGTCGGGTTAGCTGGATGGGGTCTTGGGCTTGCAGCCGAGGGGTTTGGCGTTTACGAACGATTTAGGGTTTAGGGTTTTTGGATCGTTGAGGGCGTAGGGCTTAGGGTGCAAGGGTTCAGGCGGTTCAGGGTTAAGGGGTTTAAGGTTTGCATATTCTTTCGGGAGCTCCCCTTGTAGTTCTCCTCCAAGCTTCTCATTCTAAGTGACAAGTTGGTTTAGTCGGGCAAGAAACTATTCATTGAACATTGGGTGGTTGGAGATCACTCGTAACTCCAACTATCAGGCTCAAAAGGAAACGAACACGTCAAAATTTCGTGAACATATGTGTGGCTAACATGATATCTATAGCACCCTAAGCCCAGTCCGAGAGCGAAGCCTGCAGAGAGTTCACCGTGAGGCCTCGCAGAGGGGGCAATTCCCTGGAGACTCCATAACTTATAGATTATAGCGCTTACATTACGAACGCCCTAAACCGCAAACCCAGACCCCGTACTTACGGAATATAACAATTCCACGTCGTGACTTCAGGCATAGTTCTTAATTCTGGTAGTATGTAGGAGTCGCTGGGTCCCCGTGCACTTGCCGCCACCACGAAAAACTCGAAACAAGCTTTAGGATTTAGGGCTTTGAGGGTTTAGGGTGGCGTCACGAATTTCACACTTTCGGGGTTCATGGCTTTGTTCGGAGGTCTTTTTTGGCGTTTCTGAGTTTAGGGCCCCTCAAAATCGAACGCCCCAAAAACCCCAAACCAACACAGTTCCGGGTTCAGGGTTTCGGTTGCTACCCAATTCCCGAAGCTGGTAAAAACCGTGCCCAAAGCCTGAAATGAACAAGTGACAGAGAAGCTTCATGCCGCAAATATTCAACCCTAGACTGGGGTTTATGTGAGCAACTGCAGGGATTCCAGTAAGAAGCTGCTGTAGAGGACTATAGTGAAATGCGACAAACATTCATCTTCCCCCCCAACCTGTCGTGAATATGGTTATTTAGATACGTTTAGATTGTTGTAGATCATTGTAGGTTTCGTTTAGATTGTTGTAGATCATTGTAGGTTTTAGTGTTTCAAGGCTTCCGATCCACATCTTACCTGAGGATCATTGCTAGAAGGGCCCTGAACCCTTAAACCCGTCTATCTAGAGTCCACGTTAAGGTTCCCTATTTCTTGACCACTGCAGGCTCCTTGTCATTACAGCTTGTGGAGGATTCAGACTGGGCTAATAATGCGAAGATGTAGGAGGGTCGAGCGGGCGCCGCATAATCATGCAAAAGCACACAAGACAAGTATAAGAAACCAACGCACAGCAAACAACACTCAAGACAAACTGCGGATTCGCAGACACACTCCAACAAACTAGACACATGCCAAGCCTTTCGCGCAAGAACGCAGGCACCACGATCGACCTTCTGCAGGATGTCAAAACTGAACAGCGAAGAACAAACGCATCCTGCACCCTAAACCCAAAACTCCAGTAACCATCGAAATGCACACAACATTTTGACCCTGAACCTAAAAACCCTACACCCTATAAGCCCTAAACCTTAATCCTAAGCCCGAGTCCCTAAATCCCCTAGCGGGTTCACTTTCCGGGG